AATTGTCCTAAAACCCAAAAAGTTCCTGTTTCAAGATCAAAGACAGTATAATTTAGAAGTATCTTTAGTTTTAATTCTCAAAATTCTTTAATCATTTTCAATAAGGCTTAAATATAATTACTATGTACAGTTCTAAATCTATGCACACCTATGTAGTAAATGTTTTTAAGTCAACACATTAGAATGCCTTTAAATTTAGAATATAAGTTCCATGAGAATGAGATTTGTATTTTGTTCACTAGTGTGAACAATGATTAGCAAAATGTAGGTATTCATTATAACCCCTTGCATGTTGCTCAAAACAGTACAAATAGTTAGTTTGTCCACAAAGACAAGGACCTGCACAGCCTAAAAATTGTGAAGTTCCACTTGGAGTCAGTCTTGATCTGATCACTGCTGCAGCCTTCACACACAGGGTTCCACAGATCAACACAAACAACTAGTAAATTAGGTGTAGCGGTGCACACCTATAGTCCAGCACTCAGGGAGATTCTCCCAGACTGAGGGAGAAGGGTTGCGGTAAGTTTGAGACTAGACCAGGATACAAAGTGAGACCCTGTCTAAATTAAATAAATAAAATGCCAAGCCACAAAAATATCAAAAACACAACCAAAATTTTCAACAAGCACAGACTACACTTTTTTTCATAGACAATCCAATTCTAAAAGAGACATTGTACTTTGAAATGATTTTTTCTTTCTTCCCTGGGGAGCTGAGGGCTAAATCCAGGACCTTGTGCTTGCTAGGCAAGTGCTCTACCACCGAGCTAAATCCCCAACTCCTTGAAATCTTTTCTGAAAAGCAAGTTGTACAGAGTGGTATGTGCTTGGATCCCACCACTTGGGAAACTAAGGCTAGAAGGTCTCAAGTTCACTGCCCGACAGGCTACATAGCAAGGTCCTGTCTCAAAATACAAAAATATAATAAGCAGCTACGGTATCATGTGCAGGAGAATGAAGTGGGAGGACACCACTTGACAGCAGGAGCTCAAAAACAGCCTATGCAACAGAGCACACCCTGGCCTCAAATATATAAACAAATAAACCTAATGCAGGTTCATCCCCAGTCTCACAAAGCAGGCCTAACCCTTCCTTTATTAGCTGGTTTAACTGTGCCTAAGAATCCACCAGGAGATACACTTCCTAAGGCTCCTACAAATGACCTCCTGCTGCTCTAGTTATTACTCATGAAACCACAATGCAAGTATCTCAGCCTCCTCCATTAAAAGCCATCATGAGCCAGGATCGTAGCTTACACGGGCAAGCTCAGCACTCAGGAGACTGAAGCAGAATAGTCCCTAATTCCAGGCCTCCCTGGTCTACAGAGAGCTCCATTCAGGCTGGCTGGTCTACAACGTGAGATCTTAGCTTTTGTTTATCTGCTACCTCACTGCACCTTGTAACTGGTAGTTCTCTTCTCCCCTCCACTCCAGTCTTCTCTCTGAGCAATGAGGACCCAGAATGAAACAGGTCTTAACCTCATTCTTTCTTATTCTTTAGCGACCCTTTGAAAATCTGTTGAAGCTGTGGGTGACCTCTCCATAAAAATACACACACTTAGGAGACAACTTTTATAAGTTACTTATGGCTCATGCTTTAGAGCTCCAGCTACTCAAGTTCAGTTCCCAGCACCCACCCGCCAGTTCCTAACCATCTATGACACCAATTCCAGAGACTCTGACACCCTCCTCTGGCCACCTTGGGCACCAAGCACACACACACATACAAGTTTGAAAAAAAACTGTTTATAATAGAAAAAGATTCCACTTAAACATGCACCAATAGATGGCTAAATGTTATGCCCATAATAAAATCCCACACAAATATAAGAGCATTAAAGACATTTTCTGTTCTACTATGAATGTATATTAAACAAGCAAACACAACTTATAGGGCTAGGGAGATGGCTCTGTGGCTATGAGTGATCTGCAATGAGGACCTAAGTTTCAAATCCCTATATTAAAGGCCAGGAGCAGCTACAGGCGTCTGTCATCTCAGCACTGAGGGGCAGACTGGAGGATTCTGAGATTCTGCTGACCAGTCAATCTAGCAAAATGAAGAGCTTCCAGGTCCCTCAGAGCAATCAGGCATAGAGGAAGGTGTCCTCACTTCAAAACCAAAGGCAGAAAACAGTGGTTCTCAACCTGTGGGTCGCAACCTCCAAGGGGGTCGAATAACCTTTTCACAGGGATTGCCAGAGTCCATCAGAAAACACATATTTACATTACGATTCACAACAGTAGCAAAATTATAATTATGAAGTAGAACAAAAATAATTTTATGGGTGGGTGTCACTACAAGGTGAGGGTCACACTATGAAGGCTGAGAGCCACTGGCATAAAAGAAGATATCTGACATCTTGCTCTGTCTTGTTTGTCCATGTAACACACACACACACACACACACACACACACACACACTACATAAAGAACAATGTGCATTACATACAACCATTTGTATAAAAATAGGAAAATATAAATTTTAATTTTGGTAAGGATTTGGTAAGATGCATAATTGTAAAAGAGTAAACAGAACACTGGAGACAGTGGAAATGAGAAGAAAGCAGTATCACCAAGTAACTTTTTCTATTTGCATCTGACTCAAGAATGGTGAAAAGGGTTTTGGGTTTTGAGTTTTGTTGAGACAGAGTCCCATGTAGCCCAGGCTGGCCCTTAACTTATCATGTAGTCAAGGAAGATCTTGAGCTTTTTAAGATTCTGTCTTAAATAGTGGGAGTACAGGCTTGTCCCATCACCCTCAGCACAATTTATTATATTTTTATGTATGTATTTTGGGAAGTGTGTCCATGTGCCACAACACACACATGGAGGCCAGGGGACAACTTTCCGGAGTCAGTTCTCTCCCTTCACTTAGAATTGAATTCAGGCTTGACATCTTGCTGCCCCCCATTAAGGTTTTAATTTAAAAATACTGTGTATAACTTCAGTGAATACCCACTAAGGCTAAACATAATTGCCAAGCCCTATTCAGCAATTCTTTTTTTTTTAAGTTTTGTTTTTTTGAACAGCTTCTCACATAGCAAAGAAAAACCTTGAACTCCTGACCCCAAGTGCATTTCCCAAATACTGAGGCCCCAAGTTTGCATCACCATGACGGGTTCAGTAGCGTTTTTCTATTCTTCTAAAATTATTTGGCTGAATAAACATAAGACTGCAAATACACGATGATCCAAAAAGAAACTTAGGAAAAAATACTTTTCATTATGACCCGCATACAACTGGAAGACACACAATTAACTCAATAAATCCTATGCACTCTTATTTTAAGTAAATGTCCTTACTCACTAATAGCCTATCCTTTATGAAAACAAACTTCTTTAAGAAGAAAAACTTTTTTTAAAAATATTTATTTATTATGTATACAATATTCTGTCTGTGTGTATGCCTGCAGGCCAGAAGAGGGCACCCGACCCCATTACAGATAGCTGTCAGCCACCATGTGGTTGCTGGGAATTGAACTCAGGACCTCTGGAAGAGCAGACAATGCTCTTAACCTCTGAGCCATCTCTCCAGCCCCTAAGAAGAAAAATTTTACACGAACCAAAAAGCAATAGTCTCTTTCATAGTTCAAATTTCAAAGCAGGTACTTCACAACTGCTCCTAGAGATATATAAATAAAAACTGCTATCTTAATTGACTATACAATCAATGTAGTAGTAGAGAGACCAGAGAAATTACCTTATATATTTATAGTCTCAGAAATTAAAGAAAACTAAATTGAGCAAGAATCAGATGGAATTGGATTTTTATCATCAGGCAAGTTATTTACTCTCTCTAAGCCTCAGTCTCATCTATAAAACAGAAATAAACATACAACTTTGCAAGAGCACTGTGATGTTAGAAAAAGAAATAACAAAAAACACAGAAAGTAAAATGAAGACCACCTCAGCCCTTGGAGAAGCAAGGATAAGTATCTTTGGCAGGTGTCCCTGCTTGAACCAAAACAGATGCATTCTGGACCCTGTAGTTTCTAGGAACTACACTTTCATGCACACAATGCAATGCCTGCTTTCCCCTACAGAAAACAACGCAAGGCAGTATTCCTAATATAATAAAAGGGCTATGAAATGGCATCTCCTGACTTTACATTTCTTAAAAACCTATGTTGCCTGGGCGTGCCCCCAAAGAAGCCTGTCTTGGTTCGTATTACAGAAGGGATTTTCTTCCTCAGACTTCAGCACCAACAAGTGATGGGCTGCCGCTGCTGAGAAAGGAGTCCTGCAACAGAACTTTAAACTGCCAGCATCACAGCCGGAAACCTACCCAGAAAGACCGAAAACAGCCCCAGTCAACCAATCTTAGTCTCCCAAACTTAAATTCCACCCGGCTTTTTCACCGAGCGCTACTGGCGTTTATGATCAGTATTATCGCAAATATAAATAGATGGCATTTATCTCATCCTCACTATGTGCCAGGCTCTGCGATAAGCATGTACTTTTCAAGATTGCATGAGCCGCGAGCTCATCCACCACCAACCGCTCTGCTCTCAAGTCTGCAAAGCCCCACTTCACGGCGTCAGATTCGATCTGTCCCTCTGAGCCTGGGATACCCAACACCCGCCGCTCATCCACTCGAGCCCAGGAAAACACATCCTTCTCAGAACACGACCCCAAGCCCCTCCGCCTAACGCTGACAACAAGCGCTCCTGGGATCCTCCGGAGCCCCTCCTCCTCCACGCACCAACTCCAACATGCCCCTAACTTGTTCCAAGAACTGTTTCCTTCCAAACTTGTGACTTACGCAAGGCGCGGGGTCCCCTCACTGCCCCTCTCCAAAGGCAACAAGCCCGCAGTTCGCTCCAAAGTTCAACCTTCACCAACCATAGACGGCGTCGGGACCGAACCCAATCGCGACCCCAGGAGAGAACTATCCACACCCGCTCCAGGAGGGCCCGGGATCCTCCACCCCGCTCACCAGGCCAGACCCGGGGTAGCTGGGCCTGGCCGGGACCCCAAGGGGAGGAGGAGAGGGGAGGCTTCACCTGGCTCCGCGCGCGGCTCCGGGTCCGGCCTGGGCCCCGCGCCGGCCGCGCCCCCGTCCCGGCGCGAGCGGCAGCGCTCTGGTTGTCCGCGACGGGCGCGCTCGTTCAGCAGCTCCGTGGCGGCCTGGCCGTCGTCGCGGGCCCGACGTCGGGCCCAGCCCGAACCCCGGGGACGACAGCGACGGCAGCCCGGGCCCGCAGCGCGGGAGGCGCAGCCTCGGCACCGCGAGTGGCCGCACGGCAGGGCCGCCGCTTCCCCCGGGGTCTCCAGGCACCCGGAGCAGCCCGACTCCTCCGGCCGTGGCGGCGGCGGTAACACTAACAACGCGGGGCTAGAGGCCGGGCCCGGAAGCCCGGTCTTCGCGGCCGCCATCTCGTCACAGCGGCCCCGCCGGCCCCGCCGACTCAGAGCCGCCGTGGCCGCCGCGGAAGAAGCCCGAGTGCTCGGACCTGCCGCCGCCATCTTGTTTCCCGTTTGAAGGGAGAGTCCGTTGCGCTGGGGGAAGAGTAGAGGGCGGGGCGCGGCTGGCATGGATCTGCATATTCATGAGGGGGCGTGGACCTAGTGGCTTGGGGACGTTTCTCCCCGAACCTCCAGCTCCGCTGAAGAATGCTCATTAATATTTAATGTTATTCTTGATATATCCGGTCGTCAGCCCGCCCTCCAGTCTTTGCAGTTTCTAGCACTGAATCCAGAGAGGCTGCGCGCTGGAAGGGTTTATTTGGAAATTCTGAGCGACGTGGAGCTTTATAAAGTAATTACATCTGTGTGAGCTATCCAGAAACCTGTCGAAGTGCTTCCTTGGGTCAGGGCCTGTGCTTTTTTCTTCAGGACCACGACAGCTTGTTGTGATTGAAAATGAGGCCTACCATGACCAAAAGTCTTTAATGAGTGTTGAAATAACAAGCCTGGCCAGCTCTCATCCTCTCCACATCCCTTCATGAAATCCCCTCCCTTGACCGGGGGCAATAGGGTACTTTATTTCACACATATACACACACCCTAGCTCCGTCTCTGATTCCTTCCTTGTTCGATACTTAAATGTAGAAACTCTTCTAAGTGTGGTTCTCGGTCCCCTCCTTTTCTCACTCTGTGTGCTTCCCTGGTCCCCCCATAAGAAGGAGGAATGAGAAGGAGGATGAGCCTTCTCAAACCCCGCATTGCTATCTGCAGCTCAGAGTTACTGAATGCACTATGATACGCTTGGATGTCTGCATCCCTCATGCACAAGCCTAACACCACAGTCCCTTCAGAACAGCCGCTCTTACTTCCCACAGTCTATTCCCAGAACCGCGGCCACAGGTACTCAGGCTCCCGGCCCAGGCATTATCACCGTCTCCCACAGTCCAGCCATTTTCTGGCCAAAGTAGCTCCTTTCCAACCTGTTCTTGGCAACATTATTTCCTGGTCTCACTCTTTGGTTTATTTCTCATCATCTCTTACCTAGCTGGCAGCAGTGACTTCGGCAAACTGACCTCCTACCACGCTGCCCCACTTCCTTTAAGCCTTGTTCCGTGGCTCCTAGTGTTCTTTCCTAAAGGCCAGCTCTGGCCATACTATTCCTGTTTAAGCCAGGGAGAGGTGTTCAGACTGCCCTGGAACTCGTTTTATAGACTGCCCTTCAACTCACAGAGATCCTCCTACCTCTACCTCTGCCTCCCCGTCCTGGGTGCTGGGATCAAAGGTATGCTCCATCCCTGCCAGGTGAGGTGCTCAGACTTTGTTGTGACGTCCCTTTCAGGATCCCGAGGCTTTTGGAAAAAAGAATGGCGCCCCCTGATGGAAAGATGGCCCCTCTACAACAGGTCTCCTGCTGTTGTTTTTCTGCCTTAAGGTACATTTGAACCAAGATGTTATCTTTATAGACAAGCAGAGGCTTTGTCAAGACATTAATTTTTTTCAATTAATGCTTTGTGTCAAGCTGACACATATAGAAGGAGCCATTCAGAGGCCCTGGGTTCCGTGAGATTATGCAGAGTTGCTGATAACCAATTCAAAGCAGAGTGACGTCAAAGTCAGAAGCCAGGGGGAAATAAAAGCCATGGATTCCCAAGATGAGAAAGAACCATGTGGCTAAAGGACCGTCAGCAACTGGAGGGTCCGTGTCCTGACGGACAGCCTGTCCTGACAGACACAGACATTCATTCCCAGCATTTCCTCACTTCTGACCTGTTTGAGGTTCTTGGGGCATCTTGCCTGGTTCCCGACACGGGAGACTTGTACAGAAAGTGTGCTGGTTTGTTTTGTGTTTTATGTCAACCTGACCCAAGCTAAAATCATCTGAAAAGAGGGAGCCTCAATTGAAGAAAAAAAAAAAGCCTCCATAAGATTGGGCTGCAGGCAAGCCTGTGGAGCAGTGATTGGTGCAGGAGGGCCCCGGCCATTATGGGCAGTCCAACCCTGACCTGGTGGTCCTGGGTTCTATAAGTGAGCAGATAGAGCAAGCCAGGAGATGCAAGCCAGTAAGCAGCACCCCTCCATGGCCTCTGCATCAGCTCCTGCCTCTGGATTCCTGCCCAGTGTGAGTTCCTGCCTTGGTTTCCTCAATGGACCGTGACTCGGGGTACATAAGCCAAACAGACCTTTTCCTCCCCCAGGTTGCTTCGGGTCACCACAGCAATTGTAACCCTAAGTCAGAAAGCAAGCACTATTAGAAACAGTTCCTTACTGTGAGCTGTTCGCTCAGTGGGACTTTAGTCTGAAGGGCCTGGAAGAGGGTAGCGGGCTTTCTTGGACACAGAGAGAAACAGGACATTTCCCTTTCCCCAAGGAGAAGTAAGAGACATGAGTATCACTGGACCAGATGCCAGATCTGATCTTGGTCCCAGTCTTTTGCACAGACTCACTTCCTCCTTTCCGCCCTCAGTTTCCTCGGCGTTAAAATACTGGAACCCAGAGCCGGGCAGTGGTGGCACACGCCTTTAATCCCAGCACTCGGGAGGCAGAGGCAGGCGGATCTCTGGGAGTTCGAGGCCAGCCTGGTCTACAAGAGCTAGTTCCGGGACAGGCACAAAAGCTACAGAGAAACCCTGTCTTGAAAAACAAAATAAATAAATTAATTAATTAATTAAAAAAAATACTGGAACCCAGCAGTTCTCAACATGGTGTGCGCCACATAAGTATGGGCACATGACAGCCCAAGGGCTGCCTCCGGCCAACCGAACCCAAAAGTTGAGGCCAATCTGTGAGGTTCCTTCTTAATGCTCTAAGTATGATAACCCAAACACTCCCCTATGCTGTTGCCAAAGTAATCTCTCTAACACTGTCATGGTGACGGAGGGCCGGGCAGATGGGTGGATGAGCACAGGATGGAGAAAAAGATGGTTCTAAAGTCTCAGATGTAAACCAGAAATTGTGATCACGACTGAGAAGCCAGCAAAAACAGCAACTGGGAAGGAGCACCAGACCCGTGAGGAGGACTGAGGCCTGGCAGACATTTTGTTCTACCTCATCATCTCACTGTGCTGGGCAGTGCCCCTTTCTATATATTTTTGACAGGAGGGAGAAAGAAAAGACTAGAAACTGGTGCCAGGTCAGAGGAGAAACTTACCTCTCAGAAAGAGAGGTTTGAAACCTGGTTTAAGAGCTCCCTTGGTTGACCACTCTCATCTCTACTCTATGGGACCCCTGGTAATTCTGCTTTTGTTACTGACTTGCATTCTTAACTGGCTACTGAAATTGATGAAAGACAGGTTGGGTATAATACAACTTATGGTCCAGAGATCACAAATCTACAGTCCCCTCAGGTCTGAAGATACAAGTTAACTGTTAGTAACCCAAGACTGAGTTCACTATAGTTACTAAAACGGGGAATGAAGAACTTCCTCCATTTTGCCCTCCACCTCTACCTTGTGCCTTGTATAAGTTATTTCCCATAAAATATTTTAGTCCTCAGGAATGGCTATGGGCAAAAGTAACAGGGTAGCCACCTGGAAAGTTCAGATAACCGTAGAAAGTTCCCACCCGAAGGTCAGCCGATAAGAAAACTAGGCAAGCAACAGGCAAGGTTCAAAAATAAAATTTGTGAAAAGTCCCTAGATACGAGCCAATCAGGTTTGAACCCCAAACCCTGCTAATGTAACTTTTCTGGTTTTGCCTTTAAACAGTGCTCTCTAGAAGGGTGGGGTACCTCCTGTCACTGCTGGCTTGAACACGTGTACACAGTAAACCTTGCTTTTGTGTTTCAGTGAGCCAGTCTCCCTGGTGGTCTTTTGGGGTCTCCACGGACTGCTCACAACACTGAACTGATGAACTGTGATGCAAGTAAGCTCATTCAGCCTGCTTCCTGGTGGAAAGAAGGCCCTGTCTCTGAAAAGCCAGGAACCCCTCCACAGCAGCCCAGGGAAGACCTCACATCCCTTAGACTTCCCTGTGCCCTGCTCTTCCCTCTCTTTGGTTTCAGAAGTTCTCACAAAGCGAATCCCTCTACCCAGTGCTTTGGAATCATCTGACCCCTCCAGACACTGTATGAACCCACATGACACTTGATTTCTGTCTCTCTGATAGCAAACGTATGCACTAATGATTGTAAGAAAAGAATCGAGGCAAAGCAAGAAATAGTGTCATGAGTGTTCACATGGTCTTAGGAAGCAGAGAGCATAGGTGGAGTCAGGGAAGGGCTCAGGGAAGAGCTGTCAGAGCAAGCTCTGCTTTGGAGAAGTGAGCTCACCCAGTAAACAAGGGAAGGCAGGCAGAGGACACAGCTGGGCAGGAAGGCGTCAAAGCTCAGCCTTTGTGGCAGGATCTGACTAAGCCATTCAGTGTGGGAAAAACTCAAGGCTGAGAATGCAGTTAGGATTGGGCAGAGATGAAATAGAGCCAGCAAGTCTGAAGAGCTGAGCTCAACCCTCAAGACCCATGTGCTAGGAGGAGAGAAGGGACTTCATGTTGTCTGACCCCACAGCAAGCCTGGCTGGCATCCACATGGCTGACTGGCTGGCTGGCTCTCTCTCTCTCCTCTCTCCCTTCTCCCTTCCTCCCTACTGCCCTCCCTTTCCTCCTCTACCTCTCCCTACCCCAAAAATGTAAAAATAAAAAGTTAAGTTAATGGACCTGGAGAGACAACTCAGTGGTTAAGAGCAATGACTCTTCTTCCAGAGGACCCAGGTTCAATTCCCAGCACCCACATGGTAATTCACAAATGCCTACAATTCCAGTTCCAGAGGTTCAGTGTCTGAACTTCTGGTGTCTGAAAGTACCACAAACCCATGTAGTACACAGATATACATGCAGATAAAACACGTGTAGCCATAAATTTTTTAAATGAAAAGGGTGTTTTAAAAAATAAAACTAGAATTTACAGAGACTTTTCACCATGTGGCAAGCACTATATTAAGCCATAAGGTCCTGTACAGAGGAAAACACTTTAAGAACTTTAGGAGCAATCAAAAGACTTCAGTGGGGCAGTGATGGCGCACACCTTTAATCCCAGCACTCAGGGAGGCAGAGGCAGGAGGATCTCTGTGAGTTCAAGGCCAGCCTGGGC